ACCGCTGGCTTAAGCAATTCTCTTGCCTCAGCCTCCTAAGTAGCTGGGACTACAGGCACCCGCCACAACGCACAGCTACTTTTGTTGTCGTTCTCACTGCCGTTTTAGCTGACCCCGGACGGGTTCGAACCCACCAGCTTTGGTGTATGTGGCTAGCACCCTGCCCACTGAGCTATGGGTGCTGCCCTTTATTCCTATTTTAATAGGAAAAAGAATGTTCAGAAAACAGAAAGCACTGAACAACTTGAGGGTAAGGCACCAGAGGATCCATTCTGTTACTTTCACAATCTGTTACAGGCTGATTTCCCTTAACTAAGTATTCATCAACACACAATGGGCATCTACTGTCCATGCCAGTTGGTAGGCACTCAAAGGTGAGCCATACTGTCCCTATCTAAAGAAGTCTATACATTTTCATCTAGTTTGGGACACGTAAAAACCGTGGATAGATGTAATTCATACTCCAAGGGAATAAAAAGAGCAGGGGTCAGGAGCAGTGGCTCACATCTGTAATCCTAGCACTCTAGGAGACTGAGGCAGGAAGACTGCTTGAGGACAGGAGTTTGAGACCAGCCTGAGCAAGAACACCCTATCTCTACAAAAAATAGGAAAAAACTAGTAGTTGCATGATATGCGTGCAGTCTCAGGTACTTGAGAGGTAAGGCAAGATCACTTAGCCCAGGAGTTTGATGTTGAAGTGAGCTATGATGACGCAACTGTATGTTAGCTGGGGCAACTATGTCCAAAAAAAAAAAAAGAGTAGGGAGGAAGTGAAAAAGGGAGATGCATATGACAAGATGTTCTTAAAGGCCTTCAGCTGCTTTGGGTGTCAACAACACCATGCTGTAGCTTGCATATTCCCCGCCCCAAATCTGGCCTGCCATTTTCTATGCCTTCATCTCAGTGCTGTAGACCACTTAAGAGTTGCCTGAACAGATGTCATCTTCAGGGCAAAAATCTAGCGATTTCATCACCACCATGGTCAAAGCAGAGAAACCTAAGACAGCTTTACCATGTGTCGGCGGAGTATCGTTTGGCTCTTCATGTATTTTAGGCAGAATTCACACATGTAGAGACGTCCTAGCCGAGCATATTCTTCAGGATAAGGAGAATGGTACCAAGTATCAAGCTCATAGCGACCGAAAGCAATTGTTTTAATCATGTTGCTGCCTTCTGTGATCTGGCCTTGCAGTCTCAACTTCTCCTATTGGCAAGAAGAAATCAAAAGTCAAAGGAGGATTAGAAGCTAACATCTTTGTTTTTAAAAGCCTATAGGAAGTTTGTGTACATGCCACCATGCTAGGCTATGAAAACATCAGACAGATTTGCCTTCTACTCATAAGAACTTAACACTATTTTCCTTTTTTTTGAGACAGAGTCTCACTTTGTCACCCTCAGTAGAGTGCCGTGGTATCAGAGCTCACAGCAACCTCCAGCTCTTGGGCTTAGGCGATTCTCTTGCCTCAGCCTCCCAAGTAGCTGGGACTACAGGCACCCGCCATAATACCTGGCCATTTTTTGTTGCAGTTTGGCAGGGGCAGGGTTCGAACCTGCCACCCTAAGTATATGGGGCCTGCGCCCTACTCACTGAGCCACAGGCACCATCCAAGAGAACTTAACGCTATTAAAGAGTTTTATGAGCAGGGAAAAATCAGGCAGGTCTCTATAAGCAGGTTTATAATCAAGCAGGTTTCTAGAAAACTTACTTTCCAGATTGCCCAGAGCACAAGTCTCAATAGAGAGTGGTTTCTCTGCTCCCTACCGCACTGGGCATCATGAGAATGAGAGTCCTTGGCAAAACTTCCCCTGAAGCAAAGTGAATTATAAAGGCAATATACTTATAGGCTGGCATGGTGGTGCAGACCCTGTACAAGCTCAGGGCCTATAATTTTAGAATTCTGGGAGGCCTAGATGGGAGGATCACCTGAGCTTAGGAGTCGGAGTCCAGCCTGGGCAAGAGTGAGACCCCATCTCCACTAAAAATAGAAAAAATAACCTAGGTATTGTGGTAGACTACATCTGTAGTTCCAGCTACTCAGGAGGCTGAAGTAAGAGGATTGCTTGAGCCTGGGAGTTTGAGGTTGCTGTGAGCTATGACACCATAGTACTCTACTCAGGGCAACAAAGTACAACTTTGCCTCAAAAAATAAAAAAATAAATAAATAATTAAACCAGTTAAGGCCGGGCACTGTGGCTCATGCCTATAATCCCAGCACTTGGGAGGCCGTGCCTGAGCTCACAGGTTCCAGACTAGCCTGAGTCAGAACGAGACCTCATCTCTAAAAATAGCTGGGTATTGTGGTGGGCACTTGTAAGTCCCAGCTACTCAGGAGACTGAGGCAAGAGGACTGCCTGAACCCAGAAGTTTGAGATTGCTGTGAGCTATGACACCGTGGCACTCTACCCAGTGTGACAAGAATGAGAATCTGTCTCAATATATATATGTACACATGTATATATTTTGAAATATGAATGATTTTAATCTTAGAATCTAAACTCTAGAAAATAGATATTTTTGGATATCCATCTCCATTCAGTGGCTATGAGTCAGCTACAGAAGCAATTTGTAAGCATAACCAGGTGGAAAATTGTGAAAGGCTAGCCTGGGGAATGCCCTAATCCAGAAGAGGACACAGAAAACCAAGAGCAGCAAGAATCTGTCCCAGCCAAGGACAACCCTTCCTCTTAAAAGGTGTTAAGAAGTTGTAAAGGTGGGGAGGGGATTGGGACAGCACCTGTGGCTCAAAGGAGTGGGGTACTGGCTCCATATACTGGAGGTGGTGGGTAGGTGGGGAGGGGACTGGAGGTAAGATTCACTTTATAAACTGAGTTTCCCTAAACTACATTTAATCTGTTAAATCGGAGGCAAACTCAACCATCAGAATTTTTTCTTTTCTTTTTTGAGACAGAGTCTCACTTAGTTGTCCTCGGTAGAGTACTCCGGTGTCATAGCTCACAGCAACCTCACCTGAGCTCAAGCAATTCTCTTGCCTCAGCCTCCCGTGTAGCTGGACTACAGATACTGCCACAACACCTGGCTATTTTTTTTTAGAGACAGGGTCTCACTATTGCTCAGGCTGGTCTCGAACTCCTGAGCTCAGGCAATCCACACACCTTGGCCTCCCTGAGTGCTAGGATTACAGGTAGGTGCCATCTCGCCCGGCCAACCACCAGAATTTTCTTCAAGGCAAGTTGTTAAAAATTCTGCTTGGGCATCAAAACTAAGTGTCAACTACTTGTAAAAATCAGAATAGAAACCCATCTTAATGTATAAAACTTGGTTGTGTCAAAGATTAATTCCAAAATAACTGTTAGCAGCCTTTTCCACTATTCCCCTTCATTATTATTTTCATTCTATTATTTTACAGAGGAAACCCTGCAAAAGGAAACTGTTTCTATTGGGATTAAGACAGGCAACAGAGGCTCGGTGCCTATAGCTCAACCGGCTAAGGCGCCAGCCACGTACACCTAAGGTGGCGGGTTCGAATCCCCAGCCTGGACCCGCCAAACAACAATAACAGCTGCAACCAAA